TTTAAATTAACAAATTCAGTTTGATCAAGTAGATACACAGATGAAATTTTTAGAATATTTTCGGGTATAATTTACTATGTTTTTGAAAATGTTTTACAAAAAAGTGAAATGCCCCTTGAAGATGTTCATAATGACAAAGTTATCATCAAATCTAGGGCAATAATGCTTAATTAGAACATCCTATTTCAAGGATGACCAAACACCCACACAGCAAATGTGTTTAATAGTTAGATTCAATTAAGAGCAGCATAAATCATAATGGTTAATCTGTCAAGATTCAAAACTTGCATTGCAAAAACAATCATTTCCTTACTCAAGAACTTCAATTCCAATGATCACCCCAAGTTGCAATCGATTTAAAATTGTAGCTTCTATTGTGCTCACAAACAAATTTTGACGTGTCTTTTTACCAAGTCAAGGGCAATAACCCAAAAACGGTTTACCGAAAAATCAAATTTGTAATTATCCAATATCTCATAAATAATCAGACCAATTTTCATCCAAATTCTTTGAAAATTCTCCTTTTATTGTAGAAACTAAACAATTTTGACAAGTTTTTACTAAGTCAAGGGCAATAACTCACACCATATTTCATTAATATTAATCTTAAATTGAAGTTTCTATTGTGCCTCCGAAACAAATAAACTGATAACTCAATATCCGTTTACCGAAAAAATCGTCAAATTGTAATGACCAAGACCTTATCATGATAAATGATCACACCAAATTTCATTAAAATTGGATCTCCTTTGTGGTCACTAACAAATTTTGACATGTTTTTAATAAGTCAAGGGCACTAACTCAAAAACCTTCAAACAAGAAAAAAAATCAAATTCGAACTATTCCAAGATCTCAACAATATAAATGATCACACCAAGTTTCATTAAATCAGATAAAATTCTTTATCCTGTTCACAAGAAATGTTGACAAATAATGGAAGAAATAATGAAACTTGACATCAAATACCATCAAAAAAGAATAATGACTCGTATTAAATATTTTCTGATTGTTTCAATCCAAGTCTAACATAAAACTTCATGCGTGATCCATCAATCGCAATATCCTGTAATGGCGTGTAAGCTGAGTTTAATTTCTTATTCAGAATGTCAAATTTTAAACAGTGTATCAATGCCTTCATCTTCTTCATTATAGTTAAACTGGTTTGCATGGAATAAAGTATATCCGTCATGACTCATGAGGTATAATATAGACTAGGGAATAAGGTGTTTTAATCTCCAATCCATCTCAATTTTGGGCTTACATACTATAGGCTACCAATCGAAATCGTTTTCTGGTGTGAATGTTGCATGTGCAAAAACATAATTTTCTGCTAAAGCACTTCACACATAAACTCATTGAAAATTTCCAGAGCAGAGCTGTTTTCATTCAGGTTATCTAGCTCACAACCATACAGGCTTATTGTCGACTTTATCCCATTTCCATTCAACCGGATTATTAGGCCAACTTTCGATTTCGTCATTAGAGCTGTCAACAACTATGTAATTCACACTAGCAAAGTTGATACTAATTCTTCATCACTTCGATGCATCATCGCTGCCTTCACTTGAGTCACCCTCCTCTTCTGACGACGATCCAGAGTCTACTAATTTATTTCTAGTCTTATTTTCATCCAAACTGAATTTTCGTTTGTTACTTGACACCATGATGGAAAGGGAGACAACTGTTTCTTACATTCGCAAATTCTTTATGGCTCAAAGGCCTAAACAAAACATTAGGATGTTCTGGAGTAAGCTTATGGAATGGAAAGACTCAAACCAACAACACCAAGTGGTGAAAACTAAAATTTTAAGACTAGACCATAGACACTAATTTTTTTTAAATCATTGTTCTTTGAAGGAATTGTCATGTTATAATAAATTCCTATTAAAGATAAATAGGCTACTAAGAAAAGTTAATTATACCACTGGGTATCCATACAACAGGTTTTTCTCGACTTATTTATAGATCAAATATTGTACATGAAAAAAGGTGATGTGTTTTGCCGCAATTGTCGAGTTGGTTACTCATGAAATATGGGCCAAAGTTACTAACTTGAAAATTCAACATACTAACTTGAAAATTCAAGTTACTAACTTGAAAAGTCGTTTAACTAAAGTGAAATAAATTTTCACCCAATTGGAAATTCAAGTTTTTAATTGAAAATTATGTTTTATAATAATATTCCAGTTTTATAATGATGTCGTATACGAACCACCGTATCTGAGTATATTGTGAATATATATGAGTATATAGGAATGGCAAAATAAACAAATGAGTGATGTGGAGTAAATGAGTTAATACAAGCTTCTATATTTCCAAATAGCAGGGAGGTAGATTCCTTGGTCTCGGTTCAGTTCTGGGTTTAATTTAAAGATTTCAATAGCTTCCCTTATCTCTCTGGTGTGCTTGTGGGTGATATACATAGCAAGAATATTTTTTGGTCCCATTCTATAGTGTGGTTAGGGTGGTTTACTTTGTGGTCTTTGAGTATTGGTATTAGAGTTCAGTGTTTTCGAAATGATGTTGTCTGTGGAGTATTGGTTAAAGATCGTAAATACTTTCTTGATGTGTTCAATTTCTTTGGGTAGGTTTTGTGGATCGCAAATTTCACTGGCTCTTTTTGTTAAGGCTGCAATAGTTCCAGTTTTTGTTTGGTGGGGGTGGAATGATGTGGAGTGGAGGTATTGGTCAGTATGGGTTGGTTTGCGGTAGACGGTCGTGCTGAGGCTAGTTGGCGTTCTGGTGATGTTTATGTCTAGGAATGGTAATACGTGGTCTGCTTCTTTTCTATGGTAAATTTGATGCGGTTATGCTGTTGGTTAAGGTGGTCAAGGAGTTGATCTTCATCATCATTTTCTATTATGGCAAAGACGTCAACTTTCCGGTACCAACATAGGGGTTTAATTTGTGTGGTGGATAGGGCTAAATTCTCAAATCTTGACATGAAGGCTTCGGTAAGCGTTGGTGATAGAGTGTAGGTACATTTTGGAGTCCCAAGTTAAGTATGTGGTATTAACACATAGCTTAATTCATCTTAAGATGCTGTCTGGTTTTAGTTGGGTATTATTCAAAAGGTGAAAGTAGAGTCTTTGATGAAGGAGTCAGCGAGTTTACCCATGGGTGAATGGAGTTTGGATAGGTAAGATGAGACGTTGTAAAATACTGAACCCCTGGAGCATACAAGTAAACGGATTTTAGCTGGATTCTTGTGGATTTTAACTGTAGCTCTTGCATAAGGTATAGTGGGGTTGGTATTATAGAAGGAGTTATATTGGACGTAGGTGATTTCTTTATTTCCCGTAGTTCGGTTAATGCTGCCTTGAGGTCTGTTAGGAGGTTTCTCCGACAGTTAAGAACCTACCTATACAAATCATCAAAACCATCAAATCCAACTTGTTCAAGTTATGTGAAAATCAGACAGAAACAGTAGTTTGATAGATGTGATAGATCTTTGTGAAAATACAAAAGTCAAGACTATTTTTTCAAGAGTTACAATTCAGGTTCTTGAAGATCTTGTTAACTTACTGGTCTTTAGTCAAACCTCACTATATATTCATATTTACAGAAAGGAATAAGCATGGCCTGCTTGGCGAGTGGCAATGGCCATTTCTATACAAATCATCAAAACCATCAAATCCAACCTGTCCAAGTTTTGTGAAAATCAGACTGAAACAGTAGTCTCGGTGTGATAGATCTTTGTGAAAATACAAAAGTCAAGACTATTTTTTCAAGAGTAACAACTCAGGTTCTTGTCAACTTGCTGGTCCTTGGTCAAACCTCACTGTCTATTCATATTTACAGAAAGGTTGACTAGAATCAAGTCTTAAAAATCATCAGTATTGTTTTTGCCATGTTAAAATATAGCCAAAAGCCATTATTTGTTTGAGGGAAAACCAATGAAGTCAAGATTCCAACACTCTAAAGAATGAAGTACAGTCCTCACAATGTTTGAAATTTGAGATCTTACTAAACAATATTTCAAAGATTCCATTTAGTACCATTTGTTAGATTTGTAACATTTACGTCCAGATTCCAAAACTGTAACTAAATGAGCTACAAACAGTCTAAAACAGTGTTTAAGACCAACTTACCAAAAATGGGTGGAGGATTCGCCCTACATCTTCATCTGTTCCTCTTCATCTGTTCTTCATCTGTTCTTCATCTGTTCCTCTTCATCTGTTGGCGCGCGCCGCTTCTTCTGTTCTTCATCTGTGAGTAGGAGGATCTGCAGGGTCATACAGGCCATGACCCATAGAACACTCCTTTTGTGGCAGTGCTATAGTGGGTAGGTAAATTACCAGACAATTCACCCTTTCTAACCTGAAATGGATTGAAACCAAAATAGTAACGAACCTTCACATCACAGATCTGTTGCCATAACAAGGAAACAACTAGCTGTCGCCAACACATCAGTGTTCTTCAGCCACGTTTCAACAAAATAATTTCAAAACTACTTTAGACTTTACAGAGTTCGCCTGCCTTTTTAAATTATTTTCCAAACACCGAAACTTGCTAGTACTTATCATTCTAGAATGTTCACAAAGAACATTGACTTACAATATAGATATAGTCCACTTCATCCATTGTGTAAAATACAAGTTTAAGATACGTTTCATTTTAAGCGTGTTTGTAAAACGGATATAAATATGTGCCATATATGTATATTTACATTACATTAGATTTTACTAATTCTGTTCATCGACTGCTAAACAACTTTTAATTTCCATTTAAAAATATATAAATTACTAATTGTTATATAAACTCTGTCGTGTTAAATATTACTTCTACAAAATTTGTAGGTAAACTCGTACTTTATCTAATTCTGTTCATCGACTGCTAAACAACTTTTAATTTCCATTTAAAAATATATAAATTACTAATTGTTATATAAACTCTGTCGTGTTAAATATTACTTCTACAAAATTTGTAGATAAACTCGTACTTTATCTTAAACAATTATCATATTGTTATCTATCACTTTATTTATATCAGATGAATGCTTATTTTCGCAAGTTTTTGTTGATTACATACATGTACTGGATTAATGTTATAACTAATGTAACTACGGTCCATACATCTGTTTATATAATAGTATAACGTTTTCGAGAACTAAATATTGATAATATTTAGATAAATCTTAAAGAAAATTATTTGAAACTTTGTGTTTTTCAGAAAATAGAAGCACTTTGCTGAAAGACAGACGACGAAGAGAATCTTTCAACGATAACTTGTAATAAAATCATGAACTGTTGTTTTTATTGCATCCCGCCATTTTTAGGGTAACCTACCCTTTTCCGATACCCAGCGGAACAAACTCACAAAAAGTTTAGGTGTATCAGAAAAGTGTAGGTGTATCACAAAAAGTGGAGGTGTATCGGATAATAACCTACACTAAAGATTAAAGGATCGAGAAAAAATGTATTTAAGAATGGAATACCATCCAGTCTTCTTTTAGTTCCCTAAAAGTGTACTTTTCAAGGGATACCGAGTTGTCATAACCTGTTCTAGATTGAAAACATGGAATAAGGTGATGTTTTACGTTTTTCGTTTCTGCATCTGATAGGGGTAATGAGAACATACAACAACATGTAGTGTGTAATGTAATTTTGTCAGGGAAGTAGTACAGTCATGTTTTCCATGTTCAACAGCCGACAGATCTTTTGGATGCACAACCTGTAACACACTAAGCCACCAAGCGTCCCTCGTTATGCTTTGTTCATTTGACATTATGCATGATATGCCAGAACAGGCGTTAACAGAATTTCTAAAATATGATAATTTGAAACTTACACGAGGAGCTTCCATGCCACACCATAAGCACTTTATTCATATATATTGAAGCTCTATCTGTATACACCTAAAATTAGAAAAATTAAACAGAACGTCAAAAATCATGTCGTTTCACGCTATGCGATCTAAAATTACAATAACAAAATACTTTCATTGTTGAAATAGTGCTCAATACTTCAATTGTATAGCGATCTAGAAATGCACTCCTAAAATTAGATATTTAATACGTTATTTATTTTATCACAGAAAACATACTGTACATTTTCACCCTAATCAATCTTGACAGTCCACAATTAGATATTTTGTTGCAATCAACATCATGACCGCCTTGTTTCGTAAATAGTGTGCAGGTTTTTTTTATCAAGTAATAGTCTGACACCTGTTGATTTCTACCTAGTTTTAATAGAGCCAATTCAGAAAAAAAATTAGGAAGTTTTCTCATTGCTATTTTCAAGGTGTTTTCATCTGAAACCAATCTAGAACTGATCCCCAGACTTAGCATTTCATTGTCTATGTTTCAATTGCGAAACCCCCCAGCGTGAAAATTCCTCCGCATAAAAAACGTAATATTCCTGCTTATGCTAACTGATCCGGCTCATCTTGATTGAATAAAGGTGATTTGATTTGCTTATCTAACCCCTGATCCTTCAAGTCCTTATTCCCATCGATGATTTAAATTAATTCTCAACCAGATTCATTGGAAAATTGTGAAAGAGGTGATTCTGTATAGCTATACCATATGAGACACGACTTGTAAGTGGGATTTATTTCTACTAAATCAAAGGTTATATATAAAGTAAACTCGCACACCTTTTCTAAATCAACTAGGTAGAAGTCAACAAATATCTGAATATTATAAAATGAGAATGACTTACCGCCATTTGTTCCAAGAGAGGCTGGGTGGACATGATATGGCAGCTTAGCCGAGTACAACCTAGGTGGCCCTAGCAAGGTAGCCCACAGGCTGCCACAACTAAACTACACGCGAGCCCAACCCGTAAACGCGAAAATTTTGCTCCTTGTGAGCTACCTCCAAAACCCTAGGTTGTACACCATATCTAACCAAGTTGTCCGTAGCTAAAGACGAGCTACTATACTTGAAACTCTGAAATATATGAAAACACCACAATAATACAACCATGAAATAAAATTTTTGTTTTACATGTGCAATAATTTGACCCATTAAAACTGATGTATGAACATAAATGTCACTGGGACTGACCAGGATATAATTCATTATTGTTCTTTTCTGATGAACAAACTGACTTCAAACTATCTGTAATACTTTTCAGAATCACAATCTAAAGGTTGGTTCAATCAAGTAAGCAAAATTGTACCAATGGAAGATTAAGTTGTTGTCACTTGCGGGTGTCTAGTAAAAAATCTTACATGTAGCAAGAATCAAATGACTTCATCATGATATCTGTTGCATCAAAGGTCATCAGACTACATTGAACATTCTTTTCAAGAAAGGATTATACGCGTGCGGTTTATTTGTATAGTGCTCAATTTTATACCCTTATAATGTACATCTATGATATACTAACCTCCACGGGAATGGTATCCCAACTATGGTGTATTAACTCAATAGCAAAAGCCACTATTGAGCACCCTGGCCTGAAACGAAAAGACAAAATCATCAAAATCTAAATGTTATCGATGTGTTCATTTGACAGATAGTGGCGAAGATGTGTAACATGTTAATATTATGTTGATAGTTACGCATCCTTTTTGATCGTCAGGTACATAAAGAAACTTGGACTATTTATATAGACATTTAGAGAATTATGATGAAGAGATGTTATGAAGTGGATTATTTGTGAATTACATTATTTTCTAACTAAAGGGTACAGCATTCTGAAAATACCATAATATTATATTGAGCTGAAATTGTCATCGGCATATGTCTATCAGCAGTCAAAGGTCTATCGGTGTCTGGGTCGCCTTATTCACTCATCCGAAAGGGCGAAAGAACTACGATTAATTAGTTTAGGAGGCCGGAGGGGTGGGGAGGGGTAAACAAAATAAGTCATGGCACTTTCTTTTATTTCCATAAAGCGTAAAAAAGTAATGTGAGAAAGGGAGCCAAAGAATTCAGTCTTTTCTATTCATGATATTCCTTATTTTGAGTCTTAGTTAAAAGCCAAGCTTTGCTTCATTTTTATCTCAAAAACAATTTGCAATGGATTTTTGAAATGAGTCTTACATTAATATATTTAATACAAAAATATTTCTTTTTCAAATCGAGAGGAAGAGGGCATTTATTGAAATTTATCTAAAATTTCAGGAAATTTAAAAAAGTCGACTTACCGGTTGCTATAAACAAAGCAGACTGACTGAGCGAGTAGTCACTAGTAACCAGTTACTAATTGTCTTGATTACTATTCAACAACATAGTCCGAAACGTGTTTTTTCTTTCTTTCCTCTAGTAAAGGCAACAGTTAAAATCAATTTAGAAATCCAATTATTTCTAATAACTATATAACCTAGAAAACCAAATTACTATAGTATCCATAAAGTTTCCAGGGAAAATCCATTAAAAAAATCCCTAAAATAATCTGCCCTTAAAAAAGAATTATGGACGTTATTCCTGAAAAAAGACCACAGAACCAAAAAAATGACCAAACTTTTCCATGGAACCCAATTTTGCTAAAAATTTGCTATTTTCCACCTATTAAAATAGAAAGTACCAAATTACAATCACAAGCCATAGAATAAAATACGACTTTTACCCATTTTCGACAAATAACCCTATTTCGATCAAGAATAGTTTTTTTCCTACATATTACATTCCAAGGACCTAAAAAATCACAAGAAATCAAATCAAAATCTGTAAGTTTTCAAACTAGCTTTAAGCATGGCCTATGCATGCAAATATGGCCTATTGACAACTTTTTCAAATACAGACTTTTGGCTCGACGTAGGCAGATATGGAATCGCGGTTTGGCAAATTTCAACAGGTAGCTGCCTGTGTTACCAAAATCCATTTTGGGGTCGAAATTTTTTGGTCTCGGAAATCGATGCAACCCGGTTTTTTGGACTCGGTGCTTCTCTAGCTCTCCCCCAATGTGCATAAAAGTGAATTCTGAGCACTTTTTTTCTTTGCGGAAAAGTGCTAAAAAATCCAGTTTTTCATGGACAAAACTAAAACGCTCAGTGCTACCAAAGTAAGGCAGATATGGAATCGCGGTTTGTGGCATTGCAAAGCTAAGATTTGAAACTAATACCTGTCAAAATTTCATCATCCTATCTCAGGTGGTTTGACCGTGGTGAAGCTGCAAAATTTGGATTTTCAAAAAAGTCAAAATTGGCAAATTTCAACAGGTAGCTACCTGTGGTACCAAAATCCATTTTTGGGTCGAATTTTTTTGGTCTCGGAAATCGATGTAACCCGGTTTTTTGGACTCGGTGCTTCTCTTGCTCTTCCCCAATGTGGATAAAAGTGAATTCTGAGCACTTTTTTCTTTGCGGAAAAGTGCCAAAAGAATCCGGTTTTTCATGGACAAAACTAAAACGCTCAGTGCCAACTAGTTTCGTATGGTTCCAAAGTGTTCAGAATCCACTTTCATGTAAATTTGAGGATATGCTAGGAAGCATTGACTCAGGAAAACCGTTTGAATACTAGCTGAATATTCATCCGAGAGAAGACTTTGTTTTTTGTGGTCGACTGTGTAAAAACTAAACAAAGACACTGGAGTAAGTAAGGAGATTGTATATTTTATATAATTACATTATTCATAAATTGCAACATCATTGACAGAAACAAAGACTAAGAAAAACTCTATTATTTACCATTTTAACAGAATCTTTCCAAAGAGACAAAATAATCAAATTCTAATTTTTGAAACTGACAAGGGTACCAACATTAATTTCACATATGACCTTTACAATTTCTGAAAGGGATACTACCTCTTAGAATGAACATAAAATTTAAAGACTTAAACATGGCGAAAGGAGATAAATACATTCATCAGTGGAGTAACCTGGTGTCTTAAATATGCAACAGAATCTTAGCGTTTTTCAATAGTTACGTAGTTTTACGGTTAATTACTTAGTTTTATGGATATGTCGAACTATAAACGGACTGTGTTCTATAGTTGTTAATGAAAGTCGAATATGATAATGCCATCGACCTGGCAGATTTTCATTGCAAGCTGCATGAAGTTGCCTATCTTCACTGACCCCACGTTCCTTTAGCAACGGTACTGAAGCAGAAAATTTCATAGTGAAAATAGATGCTGTAACCCCCACTTGGAATACGAGAGAGTATATTATTGATCTGAAAGCTCAAAGGTTAACAGTCTAAACTTACTGAAACCTTGAGAGCTGAAAAGTATAAAAAGACAGAATTAGACCAGAAAACACACTTGGTTATTCATATATACATGTACATTAAATAATATATTAGAAATATATATATACATAATATAATTATAATACTAAGAATAAAATATACATAATATCTAAAATGCTACAGAAACAAATAATAACATTCTGGTTTCTACTCCATCATAATGTACATAATGTATATTCCATCAAAGATATTCGCATTATCAAATGAACAAGCTAGCCACTTTATTTTAAATTCATACTACCTCTTAGGATGACCAAAACATTAAAATTTCTAAACTTGATTAAAAAGAGTCTTTGTTCATCAGTGGACTTACTTGATGTCAAAACTATACAACCGAATCCCTCTATAATCCAATAAATCCATAAAAACTAAGTAATAATTCATTAAACTAAATAATTTTGAAACATACTTAGAAGTGTGTTTCATTAATAACCTAGTTTAATGGATATATCATCTTATAGAGATTCTATTCTTTAGTCATATTACCTGGTAAGTCTAACTAATGAATATATACACTTGTTGACCAAGTTTGAGATTTTAAATTTTATGTCTATTCTAAGAGGTAGTATTCTTTTAAGGTAGGACAAATAGTAGTTGAAAGAATACAAGCCAGGTTTTTTATGTGTTCATTATTAGTTAAACTAGCTCTGATTAACTAAATAGTTCCTATCTATTTTTTAAATATACACACAATTACATGTTTAAATATTGACAAAAATATTTGTAACCTAAAAGCGCTTTGCCTTAGGAAGAATGAAATATGTAACTGGAAACCTTATGATTGCAAGAAGAAAAAACAATTTCCTTTGAAGCCTTGAACATTTTTAAGGGATTTTGGAGATGAAGAAACAAACCATATTTTCATATTTCAAGGCCTTTTTTGTGTAGCTTATAACACAATGTAGGCTACAGGTATCCAAATTTCAAATCCAATTTGATTTGCTCCAAAGATACCGATCAATTCAATCATCTTGACAGGTTAACAACAAAGATTGAGATCAGAGAAAAAAAGTACTAACAAAACAATTTCCTGAAAATTGATATTATTGCAGTTTTATTTACTTTTTAACACAATTATACATAGTCCTATAACACACATTTTCAATGCAACACACTTACTGATAAAGGGATTGTAAAAAGGTTTTCTAAATTTTTATATCTATCATGGACACTGACAGCATCAATTTGCATGATTCCAATTTTCATATGCTATACTATCAGTTTCCCCAATACACATAAAAAATTTAGAAAATCTCTTTACAATCCTATAAGGGTATAAAAAAAATTACTTAACAAATCTGAATGAAAATTGCAAACATTTTTGGCATTATGGTCATTATATTTGCAATGAGTTTCATTTTCATTTTTTATTTGGCAATATTTTATGTAAGTTGGAAGTTATCTTTCCATTACATAAGGTATAAGTTTTGTTACTTATTTGGTTTTAAAGAAATGCTGTATATTGGTTATTTGTGAAGACAATAATTCAAGCCCAAAATATAATATCAGTTAACACATTTAGCTTTTTAACTTCGACCATATACTACTAAAATAATGAAATTGAACTTGTTTATAAGTCCTGTAAGTTACTAATAGCGACTACCTTTACTTAAAGGCTTAGAGAATAATATCATTGAACTTGTTTAATAAATACAAGTAAAACATTTTATATAGAAAAAAATATATGAGGCTAAACATTCACGAAATAAGAAAAAAAATGTAAGTAACAAACTATGAAATAAGTATCAGTTTTTGAGGTTTTAATTAAAAAATAAATATTAAAACAAAATCTTTGAACTGTAAAACAACTTCTTAAGAATAATGAAAGAAAAGAAACCACAAAAAGTTATGATAAAAAAATATTATGCCAAAAAATACTGAAGGACATAAGAAACAAATATGAAATGAATGTAGTAATAAATAAGATAATAAACCTCAATATACAAGTTTATTGATACAAATATAGAATATACTCTACAAGTATATGAAAATACACCACAGTTTTTAGAATCTGGTTCAAAAGATTTTTTAAATGATACTTAAAGGGACAGATGCTTCATTTGTGAGGTGTTGATTCAGAAGTACTAGAAGTGTACGAAAATTAGATAATTCCTTCAAATATATCTCAAACTAAGTATCTCTTTTTCTATTTCTATAGATGTATTTTCTATATATGGCAGTGTCCCAAAAAAAGACGACTCATCATTTTAACTTTCAATGCGGATAATACTGGACACACATGGATTTGAAGGCTCAAATTTTGACAGAGAGCTATGAACACTATAACTGATTTGCTTAGCTAAAAAATTCCTGTTTCTAAGACAAAAGTATGATTGGTCAAAAAATGACGCACCTGTCCCTTTTAGATTTCCACTATGCTGAAATTGTTAATTTGATATCTATTACACATGTACCTATAGCCAATGACTCACTGGTGGACAAGATTGGTCAGTTCATCAAATTTCAGTTCTTGAGCTCCTTTGGGATATATATAAGTACTAAGGAATGAAATGCTGAGTAAGGAATGTCAACTGTTTTTTCAGAGTGTTCACAGTACTCAAAACATTTGATAGTTCCATTAAAGGGGTTGTTTTTTTGTTAATTTTTATGTGAATCAGGGACACTGATAGCAACAATTTCCACCAATTTTCCAATTTTCAACCAGTTTCCTGTGATCGCGATTAGTGACATCATCAAAAACATGGTTTAAATGGAATTGCAGGAATCACAAACATTTGATTGTAAATTGGAATGGTGCAAATTGATTCTATCAGTGACCCCGATACACATAAAAAATTCACAAAACCTCTTTACAATCCCTTTAATGCTCCATTTTGTATCCTTTGAAACAGATTCTTAGAAGATGACTACACTATACTTTATCAATAATATTAATAATTGGTTTAGTTTTGGCAGCTCTAGTAGGCGAAGATAATTTTCCACGCACCCATTCTATTGCATGCATTAAGCGTTTTAAATGGCGACTGTCGGCACCAGTCATTTGGTTAAATTGACTTTCTGATGTTTTAAGTAATTGTTCTATAGTAGTGACACCACCTGCTATCACATCCTCTGTGTACATGGGAAGACCAATTGAGATAAAAAATTCCCGCATGGAAGCAATTTTCAAATCACAAGCCTCGCTACAAGATTCAGCTAATCTTTCATTAGGTACCTGCAATATAAATTGTTTTTATTAAAGAAGTTGAAAAGGGATATTAATAAAGCTCGAGTTTAAGTTTCTAAGTCCTCTGGTTCTGGTACTACAAATTCAAATACGAATAACACAATTAGACGTAAACATGAGCAAGGCAAGATGGGTGTGTTCAATTTCTTGTTACATCTCACATATGTTTTCATACGATGGAACACCATGGATAGAATATTCCCCTGGATGCTTTTTCGATTTTTGAAATTGATTTTCAAACAGTTGTTAACAATTTGGAGGTATTCAGATGGACAAATGGAAACAATTTTGCACAAATTCGACAAGACTTGGGTAGTCAGTGTTTACAGGAGTCAAGTCAGATATTGGATGAGTGAAGTAGACCAGAGAAAAAACACAAAGCAAGAAATTAAATGGACACTGTATCTAATAGAAAGATGTAACTAACTACTTACAATAGCTCTATCTAAGCTTTGTAACTGTATAATTCTAACTTGTTCTAAAACTAAAGCAACACTGATTATATCTTGTCTTAATTCTTCAGCATATCTCTGAACCAATAATGGAGGTATATCACATTCTCCTTTCTAAAAATAGAATATCATTTGATCATTAGATTCAAGGCGAAATATTATCATCGTTTAGGCTTACTAGTGGGATGTATCACAAGTGGAATGTGTCACAAGTGGGATGTATCACAAGTGGAATGTGTCACAAGTGGGATGTATCACAAGCGGGATGTCTTACTCTTCAGCACCATGTGGGCCTAGGTTTATTGTCCCCTCCAAACGACCAGATGCTTTTACCATGTCAGCCCCTCTTACCTGCATCACTGACAAGGGGAAACCGGGTTGAAAAGTCCGAAAGTATTACCTCAACCTATTATGGGATTGAACCATGGACCTTCAGGTTAGCAAGCAAGCATCTAGCTCACTGAGCCACTGCCATTTTTACAATTCCATTTATCTAAAGCATTTTATGACATCACCTATGGCAATAGCTAGTAATAATATCTAAGGATCTTTCCCATAGTTTCAGAAAATATTGTAAATAAAACTGTACTTACTGCATTTGAATATGGTTCCAAACTAAAATCAATTTTCTCAGCACCAAGTTTTGTTGTCACTAAGGGAATCAACGACCGACTCACATTTTTCAATGTTTTTTGGGAAGCAGCATAGATCGGTTCCACGCTTTTTCGTCCATCTTTGGTGTAGCCACTTTTGTAAGCTGGAGGTGGAGATTTGGGATTGGAAGATTGTCCTCCAAATGAATGAGAATTGGTCAACACTGGATGAGCATGGTAATAATAGTTACACTGGGCTGGAGACAAAACACGACTTTGATAGTCCACTTGAGTTCCAGCTGTTTTGCGATCAGCATAAATTTTAGAGTCTTGAGCACTAGATGTTCGAGGTGGAGGCACTGGTTTGGGTTTTTTGTGTTTCCCATAAATACCTTGTCCCTGTTGTCCATAAGCAGACTGTCCCATAATTCTAGGATAAACACCTTCTGACACATTTGAAACATTGTGAGCCATACCCCCACTAGCTCTCGAAGAGTTATGTTTACATATACGACATTGGTTGTATCCATACGTATTAGATTTTGCACAAGAGCTTGATGAACGTGTGACTGGGTTTTGAGGTTTACTTGGTTCGTCCGTACAATGGTTTGTAATGGCCGACACTTCTTTGTCCTCTTCTGTGTACTCCCTATCACTTTTATCTGTGTCCATGCTATCTTCTGTTTCTGCTTTAGGCTTACCGCAAGAATTACACATTTTACAATGAGATTTACCTCCCTTCAATAACTGTCCTGCACCAAACGTCTGCTGGGCTGATAAAGGGGATTTATTATGGGGTGTAAGAGATTTAGGTAATTGTTCACTACTGGCATAACATCCAGAATCACGACTGTCATTGTTTGACCTAGCTGGAGTGACGTTATTGGAAATATTGACTGGTGCCGGTGAAAGACTACACGGTGTGTCTGATGTGGCGCCAGAATGGTCACTTTTAACATGGCTGTCTGAGGTATCAGTAGCTGAAATAAAAAGTTATAAAGTAAATGAGCATGTAACTCAATGTTGCCATGGATACAGAAGGATTAGAATTTGTCCAGATATGAATTAGAGAGGTCTAAAGCTACTTACAATCAAAATCTAGAAGTAATTCAGCAGCAGTTAGTAATTTAGCTCTTTGTTCAGGATCTGATATATTTAATATATTTAAATCTTCTTCATCCATTTCTGATAATATCTCTAACTGATCATATCCATTTAATAATAACAAACTTGTTAAATGCTGAAATCAAAAATAAATTTAATATAATCAAGGAATTGGAATGGAGCTTTATTTCTTCCAAACCAGCCACAGAAAAAAGTGTCCATTTAGTATTAGAGGTAGTCTTTAAAATGGGACAATAAACTGGGAACCTATGTGCCATGCCAAGAAATCAAATCATTTTAGACCAATGAAGCTGTCATGACAAAATTTTCCTCATTATACACTGCATGGCATTACCCAGCTTTAACAGTCTATTTAAGCCAACCAAGAGCTCTTTGAAGCTTGAAGATTGCTTCCACAGGGACAAGTAGACCATTCCTGAATGGTCTCAGAATGTTTCATGTTCTTTGTTGCCACAAATGCAAAATTTTCCCACCAGTTTCAGTTGCAATAAAATTCATTTAAATAAAGAATTGCAAGAAATTTTTCTCACCTCTAATCCAATCCTCTGCATCAATTCTTCGACTGATTTGGGTTTTGATTTTTTAGGATTTCGACGTCTGCTCTGTTTATCTTTACGTTGATTGACAGGTGCATCATCAACTATAACTTCTACATTACAGAAGTGGAAATTGCCCACTTGACCTTTCAGAGCACCTCTCCATACACCAGACTGTGCCATATTGATAATATGAATAATATCACCTTTCTGAAATCATAGAATAATATACTTATGTGTACCATTCTAAAAGCATATTCAGAGTGAGTTTGTACTGATTATAATCACCCTGAGTCAAGTCATACATTCAATTTTGATTCTTTGAAAATCAGTATCAGTCATCAGTCAAAACTGTCTTGTTGCAAGTTAAAAATTGATTTTGAAATAGTTACTTCCCTTTAGGAGTGAAATACGAAATTTGACACATTGGTTTTTATTCGCTATTACATGCCAAAAAGAGTATTGTTTCAGCCAGTATGCAAAACATCAAAGCACTGATTATCTCAAAGTGTAAACTATACATTAAGTAGAATTTCCAATTAGTAGATGCTTTACCTCAATTTGTAGAAAGTCTCTTTCCTCTTCACAAGGTGTAAAAGATTTAATGACCCTAGCTTTTCCCAGAAAGGGTCCAGTGTAGACCGTCTGTTCACCACCAGATGGTTGAAAACATCCATATAATGGCATCTGAGTATTTGGTGCTGGTGCTGAAGACAAAGGAAAGGGTAATTAATATAACATTTTAATTCTCAAACTGGACCAAAATGAGTCATCAGTGGACTTACCTGGTGTCATAACTATACAACAGAATCCTTGTGTATAATCCAATAAATCCATAAAAACTAAGTAATTATCAAAAATATTTTGGGATAATTACTTAGATTTATAGAATTATTGAGGGATTCTGTTGTATAGTCTTATTCAGAGCACCAGCATACACCTTATGAATATAATTTCCAATTTGGTCCAATGTTACCAGCAAGAGTTCTTGCCCTTAGACTACAAGAACCATAAAGGAAAATGTTCACATATCATTTTTCAATAGCTAAAAAGTTCAATCGAAGTTTGCAAAGGCATTATGAACAGATTTATTAATTAATCTCTTTTCCCCATAAAAACCAATCTATCTGGCATCAGCTCTGACACCAGGAATGAATTGGTGCTGGGGCTCAGATTTTGTTCTCAGAAAATCTGAAAAATTAAACGCCCAAAAAGCTCATTTCTGACAATTTTTTTAGTTTTGAGCCAAAAACGTATCGAAATCTATATCTATTCTAAAATCTAAAATCTATTTTTGAATTTATACAAAGACACTGTAAATTATTAAATCTATGCTGAACTGAAGGAGGTTTTGCTGGGGCTTAATTCTTACTTTGCTACAGACCCCTACAGACCCCACCCCAACGACTGGCATAAGCATACTATGGATATATTCAAAGAACTTCAATTCAATAAATATGGTTGAAGAAAGAAATTATACTGACCAGGAGGAACATAGCCACCTTGAGATGTTGTTCTTAATAATGGTGGTCTGTTATTATAGGCTGAACAGTTGGATACAGGCTGGAAGAGAAGAAAAAACCATTACAAATCAAGTGTCTGCAGTGTCTTCAAATTAAATAGCCAAGATGGTTCTTGTTCTGTAGCACAGTCAGGTAGAGTGTTCTTTATGACATCATTAGCTTGGTTACGATAAACAAATGGCAGTTGTGGGTTCTTATCTCGGTCAGGGTGTTGGCTGTCAGCGTGGGAAAACGGATAATCTGGCCGATCTAAGTGGTTTGGTCAAGGACCAGCTCGTAGTAAAGGATCCTTAACTGTGAACTTAAGTAGTTATCCTTTCTTTCTTACTTTCTTGCAAATTTGAAATTTTAGAATTTTGTATAGATAGAATCTAACTTACCAATGGATGCTGTTGCTTTTCCTCTTTATTCTTTAAAACCTTTTTCTTCAGTTCAAATCTCATTTCACGTAATCTACCACCCAGTTTATGTCGATGGTCTCTGTTTAGTCCTCCCAGTAGATGCTACAAGAAAATATTTGGAATTATAATATCATGGAATATGATCGGATAAAAATAGTTCAAAGCCAGATGTGAAATCTTGTGATACTCTGTATTATTATGAGTCCGATCTTTGCCAAACATTTTCAGGATGTTTTGAAGTTTTGATCTAAGGTATTACCAACATTACTGATCAATTAAACGTAACATCATTTTGATGTTATATCTGTATTTTCAAATTGTTATATATTTTAGTACCAGGGTTCAATCCCGGCAAAGGTTGATATGAACTTTCGGATTTTTCAACCTGGTTTCCTCACGCCAGTGATTAGGTTGGAGGGGCTGTCCGTGCTTGACAATAAACCCAAGCCTACCAGGTGTGCACATTAACAATGCTTTGACAGTTGGAAATCAAATAAAAGATTTCCCTCATTGCACACTGCATGGCTTTGTCTGCCCAATTAGGTGCAGTAAATACAGTAGGATGTAAAACTCATCTATTTCATTTATATTCATTAGTGAAGGCATCCCACAAAATCGGTGCTTAAAAACTTTTAAGTAACAAAAAGTGATAGAACATTTTTTGACCACAGAATATTTTACTGCCAGTGTCTGTTAAGCTATATCAGTATCTTCAGAAGTGACGTTTATTTCTTATTTCAGTTTAGAAACTAACATACACAAGTGTTGTCAGGTGTTTGAAGATTCTAATACAGCGCACTTGATAATAAATATATTTAACTTGAGTTTTTATCTACTACAGGTGGTGCCTGTTTTCCTGCAAGTCTTTGAAGTGGTGTAAATGTTCATGATATATCAGAAAAAATATAATGAGTATATAAATAACTAGGTAATATTACTCACTGTATTATCATGTTCATCATTTTCTGAAGAAATACAATCATCACCTGTACTGTAACTAGCGCTTCTATGACACTGTAAAAAATACAATTTACTTTTTATTTCGAAGTTTGATTAAAGGATTACGTCCACATACACGTTTTCATGAGCGTTTTAACGCCGCGTAATATGCATCAGATTACGTCTGAAAATGACAAAGCGAGATACACTGTGTCCACATAAACATAGGCAGAGACACACTTGCTAGAGAGGAAGACAACATGGCAGATGAATGAGACTTCATATCTACAATAAAAGGCGTCAACCTGAAAAAAAGAAGTCACTGGTCCACATTTGACGGGTTCCTCAGCGTTTTCACGCCAAATATTACTTGGCATGAAAATACCCTTGAAAAGGGTAGGTGGACACAGGCCTTAAAGTTCTAGATAGTTCTCCATGGCAGTTTATTTTGTAATGCATTTTAATCATATGATATGGTACCTTGGTAGAATACCTGTATCTCTGATGCAAGCAAACATTCAAATCAGAGAAGATAATTT